TAGGGAGCTCTGGTGGCCTAGTGACAAGAAGCTACACTGCAATCCCAAAGGTGCATGGTTTGAATCCACCAGACACTCTGCTGGAGAAGGAGGGGCAATCTCCTCCTATACCAGTCAGATCCGATTTGATGGTACACATACACACAAATAATAAAATAAATTTTAAAAAAAAACTTTAAAAAAAGAAGGTTCTTGAGTATATTTAAAGCAATAGAATTACTGGTATGGTTTCTACTTTTAATTTTTGAAGACTAGCCACACTGTTAATATTTTCCATTTAAACACTCTACCATAATAGCATAATTTATTAAAATACATGTTTTATCTACTACTTCTATCATAATCGAGTGTCTATATATGTGTTAATCTATTTCTGGACTCTATATTGTTTCAGTAATCAATTAATATATCTTTGTGCAATACTTACTATGCTCTTCTACTTAGTAATATCTACATAGATTTTAGGATCGATTTATCAGTTACAGACATGCACACACCACACACACACACAAATCCTACTGGAAATTTGGGTGGGATTGTACTATATCTATAAATCACTGGGTAGACTTGGCTGCCACACGATATTAAGTCTTTTATGAATATTGTCTATATATAATTTCTTGTCTCAGTTTTTCACAATAAATAATTTCTCATGTTCTGCATATAGTTCTTATACCTATGTTCTTACATCCACACTTTGGTATCTGATATTGAAAGGAGCCCTGGTGATACAAGTGGTTAACTGCTTGACTAATAATCAAAAGGTTGGAGGTTTGAATATACCAATCATTATGTGGTAGAAAGATCTGGCAGTCGGCTTCAGTAAAGACTTACAGTCTTGGAAACCCTATGGAGTAGCTGTACCCTGTCCTGTGTTGCTTTGAGTATGAGAAACCTTTCCTTAATGTCTTACAGGAAATCAAAAAACCTTTTCTGCATTATCCATACCTTTTATTTCACTCTTTTCCCTCATACTTATTAATTTCTTGCCATTATATATGTATTTATGGCTTGTGTCCCTCTACAAGAATGTAAATATCCTACATTCTTAGATTCCCCTATTACTGCTTTTTCCTCTTATAGACATGTCAGGTTTTTTGTTTTTTCCTAAGTATCCAGATGAAAGGTTTGAAAAGACCTGGGTTCCAGAATGTAAATACTCCCAGACAAATCCTACACTTAGGGCAGAGGTTTCTCTATGTCCTTGGTACCTAGAACAATAGCTGACAATAATGGGTACAGAGTATATACTTTTAAATTAATAGCTGACATTTTATAATGTGTGCGCCTGATCCAGACTATAGTCTTTGCAATTACATGCTATGCATCGGAGAGTTGGACAGTGAATAGGGATGATAGAAAGAAAATTGATGCCTTTGACCTGTGGTACTGGAGAAGAGTGTTGAATATACCATGGACTGCTAGGAGAACAAACAGGTTTGTCCTGGAGAGGGTGAAGCCAGAATGTTCCCTGGAGTCAAGGATTCTGAAGCTTCGTCTGACATACTTTGGGCATGTTGCAAGGAGGGACTGGTCCTTGGAGAGGGACATCATGTTTGGGAGAGTGGAGGGACGGCACAGAAGAACACCCCTGATGAGATGGATAGATTCTGTGAGTGGAGTGGTGGGAATGAATGTGTTTGAGACAGCGAGGTTAGCACAGGATAGAACGGCATTTAGGGCTCTTGTACATAGTGTCGCTATGAATCGCAAACGACTCGATGGCACATAACAACAACACAACAACGACTCCTTCATTTTCAGCCAGCTTTTCTAGCTTTAATTCAGTGCATCTTTTTCTCGTTGACATTAAAAACAGCACCTGTCATATGGCCTTGTACCTGTCACTAATCCTACATTCAGGGTTTTTCTATGTTTATTTAGCTCCCATTCTCCTCTTGGTGATTCCATTTGTCTTGTAGCTATCATCTCTTTTCTGCTTCTGTTCCTTTCTTTTATTTTTCTTACTGCTACTCTTTTAAATTTTGCTTTCTTAGTCCAACGTCCCTCTCATTGCTTTCTCTAACTTTTGCTTTTTCTACTAACTGTGCTCCATTTTCCTTTTTCTCATAGACATCAGAATAAAAATTGAACCTAAGAGACTGTATCATGTAATCTATCACTTTACATGTACAGAAGTGGAGATACCACAAGATAGCAGGATTTGCTTTAAAGTCCCAGCTAGGTTAAAGCTCAGTTAGGGGTGTATCTGTTTACTAATTTCCTCCTCTTCTTTTCAAGTTGTTTTCTCATCCTTTGTACAGTTTTAGAATAAGACAATCTTTATTTACAACTCAGCTTCAAAGGTCACTTACTGGTGATCTTTAACAAAATTATTTGTTCTTAAATTATCCTCAGTGTCTTCACAGTTAAATGAGATACATTCAACTTAGATAGTTGTTACAAACAGCCATTTTTTCACAAATTGAACAAAATATTTTTTATGTAACAGAACACATGTTAACGCTTTTCCTCATATTTTTAAAGTGTTAAGATTGGACTCATTAAGTTCTTCAGTTCCTTCCGAGTTTCAATATTTTATTATGCTTTTAATTATTTCTCCTCTATTTCATGCTTCATTTCTTCTGCTCACTAATACTACTTCTTCCTCCTAGAAGAATGTCAGGGTGTTTTGTTTTGTTTTTTTGTATTTTCTTAAAGTATCCAGAGGAAGGTTTTTAAAAGACCGGGGTTCTAGGCAAATTCCTGCACTTTTGTCTGAAATCTCCATTTCTGTAAAATAAGAATAATAACATAAGCATCCCTTCCATTTAGGGCTCCGTTTCCTAGAAAGGAAAAGGATCACATTTAGAAAATACCACTTTACAAGTACATTTATTCAGGGCAGAGGTAATCCTAGACTCAACCTGAAAATGTAAGTTTTTAGAGTAAAATTTTAAAAGATATCCGAACAAAAATAAGCAATACCTGTTAGCTACTATCATTTCCTTTCTCTTTGTTCCTGTTTTTCAATAAATGAGTGATTAAGTAATCTCTACTTAACTTTCTACTATAGACTATTG